TTCGTCCTAATAAACAGCGACGGAGGATTTATCTTCGTCACCAACCCAGGCCCATAGGTCATTTATCTCTATTTCTTCGGCAAGAGTATTTGAAACTTCAAGCGAATCAAATATGAGGCAATATAGGGAATCTCCTTAGAAAGTCACATGTAATGCCACAAGGAATACTTCGAGGGATGTCAAAATGTAGTAATTTGTTCACGCCCACCGCTGTGAGCAGTCTGTCGCCATAAATTCGAACCGAACTGCTAAGGTGATAAAATAAAATTAAAAAAAATGTGATAAAATTTGAAACGAAGTAGATTTCAGAAAAAAATAATGTGGTACAGTTCGAACCAACTTGTTTAGAAAAATATTAATCGAGTTACATTTGAAACAAAATTGTTAACAAAGAAAATAATCATTTTGGGGGACATGTATAGACACGCGGATACCCGAAGACGCGAATAACGAAGTTTCACTGTATTTGTTAAAAATTTATGGGTTAATGCAATTCTTGCATAGGTAATTCTTGGTATAAGAAGCTTGATCATTTCAATCTTCCCAAGTCAGACAGCAGAAACGTACTAAAACAGCTTGCATGCCGAAACTGTATATCATTTAAATTAACAGGATCTGTAGAAAGTTTTAAATCAAAATAGCCAAATACACGTCAGAAATTGCCGTACTGGTTATTCAGGATTTACTGCCTTAATCCTGGAATACGGTAATGATTTTGACAACAGCGGCAAAGAGAGCAGCAACGACAGTGTGAAAATAATATCATAAAAGAAGTCGCTTTATACTGCAGACAACCTATATTATGTTTCAGTATTCCGATCGTGTCATATGCCCATTTGAACAAAAAGCTGTTTCGTTAAATAACGATAATGTTTAGTGCTTGCGTGCTACCAACAATGAAATCAGAAATACAGCCTTCGACGAAGTAAAGTATGAAACCAAAATGTGCACAATCCCCAGATTTGTTTTTTGCTAGTACCATTTAACTGGGCTATACCAGCTACAACGACACAAACATTAGGATTGACCAAAGTGCTCCAAACCTTAAAATTCGCTCACCTCAGCCATCGAAGTTCCTTCCAACGTGAAGCCGTTCGTTCGTAACATCATACATAACACTTGTGCCAACGCACTAGGAGTGATCTCGGCGATGCCTAGCGATGTCAGAGTTCGCCGACATGCTTCAGCATCGACGCAGAATCCGTATCCGATTTCACGAATCTGCTGCGCTAATGGAATAGTCGCCTTTTTCGCAGAATCCATAACTGTTTCATTATCTGACAAAGCGTCACATATGATCAGGTCACGAGAGGGTCGCAACAGAGGTAGAAAAGCTATGGGCGCTTTGGTAACGAGAAACGCTTAAAAAATTAACAACTTCGTGCGTATAAAGTAATTCATAAAAAGGCTACCTCGACGCAGCGATTTCCGAAAGGACTGCTTCAACGCTTCTAAATTTTCACTCTTTTGTGATCTAATATAAAGCAGCAAAGTATGGAGCGACTGCGACGACAGATCGCCGAGCTCACTTTTCACAAAGCTTTCTAAACATGCAACCGAAAATTTGCAACTTGTGCGCGAACAGTTCACTGATCGACGTTTACCTGCTTCGTTAAACGCTCGCAAGATAAGTGGCAGTTTTCGCTTGATGTACTCTGCGGCACTCAGTCTCACCTCTACAACAAGTGAGTTTTGCAAAACAATACTCAGAAAAATCTCCTGAATCCGTGGAAGTTTCAGTGCTTTCAGTAAGTGATGAAAACACTGACTTTTGTTCTAAAAACAATAACTATCACTATCAAAATAATAAAAGCCAAAATAAATGATTTACCGCTTCATGGACAGCATTCTGATCAAATGCTTCAGCAAACGTCGAAAGAAATTCCGACTGACCAGATCGTCGTTTAAACAGTTCTCTGAGCAAAGAAATCTAAAAACTCTAACAACTGTCGGATTAACAAAAATATAACATTGATATTATGCTTAATGAGATGCTTTTCACTGCGCATTTTCGTCAACAGCACTCCTCCTCAGGTGACTGAGGGAAAGCTGTGATGAAGCCAAAATTACAGCCACCGTTTTACATGCTAGTACAGCCCATAAGCTGCCAATTCAGACCGCTTCCGCCGTATTTAAGAAGGAACGCGAGTAAAATGGAATGAAAGCATGGCAACTCAAACACGGCCCAGTGTAAGGCACTGACTATGAAACCTGAAAATCAGAAACGGAGACATTTCTTCATTGCGATCTGAAACAACAGATTAGATCCAGAACTGAGTGACACAAGCTTTTACTTTTCAGTCAATCAGTTAATCTATGGCTCAGTGAAGAAATGTTCTTGTCATTACATTAAACTGTTACCACATCGCTGATACTCTGGATCATTAGCCGAAATACTCTGGACAAATTTAGGACGTCCCGCTTGGCAGTTCAGTGATAGAGCCAAGTTTATGATTCTGGCTGCTTTCACAGATTTTTTCCTTAGAGATTGTTTGGTTCTCTTGGTTATTTTCCCATCTTCTATGTCGGAGCTCGCCAAAATATAACTTGCCAATCTTGTATTGTGCCGGTAACGTTGTTCGAGCCCAGACCAGGAAGCTGCAGGTGATGTGAGTGGCCTACAAGCCTCGTAAGGAATGAAAAGCGGTTTTCAATATCAGGAGGTGATTTAGTAACACTCCCTAATAATGAGATAGTCGCCTCAGAACTTCCACAGTGGATCATGCAACGAGGCTACCAGCAGACGCCCCAGTAGCCATCGCAATAGCTCTAAATATTTGTCAATAAGCCATCCTGTCGTTTTTTGGCGGTGATCCAGTGCGACAGACAATGAAACATACAAAAACATTATAGCCGCAATGACGAAGAGGAATATCACTTATATCTAAGACAGAGCCCTGAAAGCTATATGCCTAGTATTTCGACATAATGTCGGTACTTGCTTCCATCCATTAAAGCATCAGATGTAGTGGTACCTGTATTCGCAGACACTGTTCAGCATGTCTCAGGCAGCTTCAGCTACCCTGATTTTTACTTGGACAAATTCCGTAGTTGGAAATCATGGATCTTCGAATATATCAGAATTTGCTTACGAGCACATCGTTCATGCAAATTTTCGATTTTAAGACATTCTGGAGCATACCACAGGAACAGCTTTTCATTTCGATGGTTTCAGTCAGCCTACATTTGGGATAGCCATTTCTGTTGCATTCAATGCTTTTCTAACTTCTTTCAACTTCGCTGCAATGATTACGAAGTCACAGAGACATTCCAAATCCTGTAACCGCCGTCATGATTAATGAAGCATTATTTCGCGAGTACCTTCTGCAATCCCCTTCGTCATCATAACATCAAAGTGCAAGAGCTGAATACAGTCCGGCTGTATTTGTTGACATCGTCATCTGAGGTATTAGGGTCAAAGATAGAGTATTCAGATTACTGATGTCTGATGCTTACTGGTCCTGTGATTGGCCATTTTCCACTCCACTACCGATTGCGATTACAACGCCTTCAGCATGGCGAACAAGGCAAAACAAATATGCTTTCCGAGAAGTATTGGTGCTTCGAGGATGCAGTACTCAGTGACTAACAGCAAAAGAAGCAGCAGTGTTGAGAACCGGCGAATATAGTAGACATAACAAACCTGAGACATTTTGATGATGTAAACGCCTCAAGGTGATGAACTCAATAAACATACGTTTCCAAGTTTTGAAAGCAGCACCGTCATCAACTAGTGGAAGATGGATAGAGAAAGGAAATGAATAGCGACATGTACACGTTATCTGATTCGAACACAGCTTAGCAGTTCAAGTCAAATCAGGATTTGGAACTCGCAAAAAAGTCGCCGCAAAACAGTTAACTGTATTTGCTTTCATAACAATGATCCTTCTAAATAAACCACCATAATCCTTAAAATCCGCTTAGAAGCAAAACCGCGGAATGCCTTTGGTGGTGAATCAGCTCTATGTCGGTAGTACCGTAAACATAGATAGAATAAGATCGAGAACTTTTCATGATTCTGACATGGAGTATTTGACCCTCCAAATCTAAAGCAATCTTTAGCTGGCACAGTATAACCTCTTCAACTGTAACATTCACCGTGGTTTGGTTGCCTCTGCTGACCAATAATGCATTTCGCGACTATCACCAGTCTGCAGACCAGATTTAGGAAACGTCCAGGCATTCGTCCCCTAACGAAATTCTCACTTTTCGAAAGGTCACTGCGCAACTGCAACTGTCTCAGTTTGCCACTTCCTCAAACTATAAGGCTGCAGTTGATTAAAATCATCGTTCAACAATGTGGAAAATCACAAAATGCTCTGGGATGCCTGATCGCATCTTTTCCATTTTGAAAGAAATTTGGGGAGGAGATAAGTCTGATGCTTAAGTAGGAGAGTTATCCGAGTGGTTACCGCGAACAGTGAAATTCGAGAAGTAACGGTAGTTTTTGAACGGCATGGAAACACCTGCTCTAACGGAGTAGGAATGAGAGTTGCACTGCGTACGATAATGCTTGTTTTGATGCATTATGACGGCTAAGTGGTAGGACTTAGCTGCCGACTATATGGCGCGTCCCCGGGTTGCGGATAGAGAAACAGCACCCAGACATGAAGGTTAGCTGAGACGAATAAGCAGTAAGGGACAGGCATCGATCAGAAGACCAGGGCACGGTAGGGTTAGAGCTCGATAAGTTCGATCTTCTGAGGAAAAGACAGTGTCCAATCACAGTATCATGACGAGGCGAAAGCAACTCGCCCCTTCGAAGAAGAAAGGTCGCCAACGTCACCGCAGCCGTGCGGTTATACATCGCTACGTAAAAGGCTAGAAAAAGCAACTTCGACTCCCGGAAGGAGTTGCGGGACACGTCTATAAGTAATTCCCAAAATCACCGTTAGCCTTACCAGCTAGTGACAAAACTTCATGCGCTTTGACAAAACGAGTAAATGGGCCTTAATACCCTGCGCATCTCTTAACCCTTTCCACGGCAGCGCTCCCATGTTCGACTCTCGAGAGGCTGCTAAGGTGAAAGGCCACCATCGGGTACGCAGGTCCGAAATTCCCCCGCCGTTTGTAGAACCGTAGAACACTGGCGAGGGAAGAGGCGTTAAACCAACTAACTGAGGAAAGATCAGGGATGGCCTGCGACAACATCCACCTCTAAGGACATGACGGCGAAAGGAGATGAATGGCATCTGGAAAGACGATATTTCGATTAGGCTAGGGCGAGAATAGGATGCAAAGTACATAGGACTGCATAATTTGGTTGGTCAAAATTGCCTCTTGCCGTGTGAATTCACCAAGACTTGGCGTGCTGTGTCTCCAACTGAACATGAAAATCTTGAAGACTGTCGAAACTTATACAATCATACGCACAGCTGATGAGGAAGTGGAAGAATTCTGTCAGGAACTGGAACAGACATCGGTCCCAAAGTCCACGCATACCTTCGATATGAGAGACTTCAATGAAAAGGTCTGACTAGAAGGGCCGGTAGGTACAATCCTAAAGAGCGAAACGAGCGAGTAGATCGGTTGGCGATCACGGCAGAAACGAAACACTTGTACTGACAACACCTGGTTCAAGAAGAAGACAAGAGGTAGATATGGATCGCGTCCAACGCGGCGAACAAAAAATGAAATCAACTTGGTCCTGTTCGATAAACGCAGCATTATCCGAGAGACAGTCGTAGTGCTGTCACTTAACATCGACAGTGATTACACACTGATACGGGATAGGCTAACTTTTGAGGGAGAAGTCGAGAGAGACACGGCAGATGGTGAATCGCACACAACGACCGAGGTTTTCTAAAAGATGGTGCTCCAAGCGCGCATTCCCAGCGAAGACGTAAGCCTGAAAGGCAGCGGCGACGACGAATACAAGAAGCCGAGGTGGTGACATCAAAGAGAGCAAAAGAAAGGAGCTCAGAAGATACCAAGATTTTGCTAGATAAAGAGAAGCAGAGGAGGATGCCGAGAGAGCTGACTCGAGGAATTACTCCCTACAAGCTCATTAGACGAAAGGTGAAGGAGGGCTTGGAGACCGATTGCGAAAATTAGAGAAAACAACCGAAGATCACAAACACCTCAAACAATGTGGTAGAGCAAAAGATTTATCGAAAGACCATCACGAAAATAAAGACCTGGAACGGCGCACTAACGTCTGACAAACCTGAAATGCAGTATATCTAGAGCTTTACATCCGACTCTTTGTCAAAGTCATATGCTCCCTACCCCCCTCCCATCCCCTCCGTCACTCCAGCAATCAGAAAAAGTGTACTATCCGTGCTTATAAAAGATGCTTGGCATGCCGTGCAACAAATGAATGAAGAGCTCCAGGGAAAAACGGAATGACAACTGCACTGATCAGAGCAGATCGCTGGACGATTTATAGGGCACCAGCGGAGAGGTTCAGATGTAACTCCGATCTAGCCTGTCCTCAAGCCCTGTTGAGAAAGGAGGAGGGTTGGAGACCGTGGCAAGTCTCCGTAAAATTCAGCCACCTGCCACTCATGGTA